TCTTCCTAGCTCTCAGCCTTTCCTGCAACTTTTACTAATTCTTACGCTTTTTTCCCTTTGGCTGATAAATTTTCATTATTGGTTTTGCATGAAAGTCATCTGGGCTCATACATTGAATAACCTCTGTGGTCACTTAGTGATTACATACACTGGCTGAGGTAATTTATTCACTTTTGTTTTGGTGTGAACACGTCCCTTGGGTCTTGTAACTGCTGTAATCGCTTGACCTTAGTGACTGTTAAATGCTTTAAACACAGTTATTTTAAATTTATAATTGTTTTCATTAAAAATCTTTTATAGTAACTTAACTGACCTTGCAGTAAACACAGCATTACATGCTGAGGAAGAATTAAGACGTTATTCTATGCCCAATATATTTCTTACTGAATGTTTCAACATACTATTATTATCACTTCATACTTTTCCCATCCATTCTCATTCAGTCATATATGGGAAATGAAATACAGGAATATCTAATTATAGCTCTGTCTTCATAGTGCAATATTTCCTTTCCTGTGTGATGGGAAGTGATTGAATAACTCATAAGAATTGAAGAGAAAGCAAAGATAAATTCAGGCAGATAGATCTTTAATGAGTGACGATATGTTTATTGTGCTCAATTAGTATGGGCCTGATTGTGCATATCCTTACTTGTGTGAATAATTTGCATCTGGTTTAGTAATTTTTCTCAAATAGCCAGTTTTGTTCTTTTTTTGTCTAGTGGTTATCTCTTAATGTTTTTTTTTTTTTTTTCCATGCAAGATTTCTAATATAAGGCACATTACTGGACGAACTGGGCAAAATTCTGCAGTGGAAAATACAAATAAATCCAGTAGGTGAAATTACTGCTGGTTAATGTCTATGGAGCTGAGAGTAGAATTTGGCTACTTTTTTTCTGAGTTGTTCTGGGATTTAGCAACTTGACTGTTTCATGGTTTTTCTTTCATGTCTTGCTTTTGTTTTGAATGCATGTTTCTTTTAATTTCTGTGGGATAATGACTTGAGAAACTTTGTGAATGTTTTAGTGGACAAATATATATGGGTTTGTAATGGAGCAAGTATTTCTTTACCTGTAATATATCCTTGCTTTAGTATAAACATTGTTGATAGAGCTAAAATTAAAATTCAGCTTTTTTCCTGTGGTATAGTTCCTACATCATGTTACTTAAAGTGAGAAGGAAAGAATGATTATACTATTTTAACGTGGAGGTTTTCTTGTTACGCTCTGAATATGTGGATGTGGTCCTCAGAAATGTATTGTCAGTTCTTTTAAAGTCCATTTTTGTGTGAATGTTTAGTTATTGAAAATAGCTTGGAATTGCTGGCTGTTACATGGAATAGATGGCAAGATGGGAAGAGCACTGGAAATGTGGTGTTGCTCTGGGAGGTATGGACAGACACGTAGTTCCAGTCTACGCTTAGATTTCTATATTAGCACTGTAGAAACTTGAAATTATATTCAAAACTGTAAGCCAGACACCTGCCAAAATAGTGTTTGATCTTGAAGATAGTATAATTTAATCTGAAAAAAAATGAACTGTAACAAAATAGTATAATAGTAATATCAAGCTCTTTTCTTATCACTGTTTAAAAATTCAGAGTCACATTCCTCTTGTATCCTTTCTCAATCTCTCTGGTCTGGCTCAGTTATTCCCTCCTTTTATCTAGGCTTCATCTCCTCTCCAGGCATATTTCATTTAGGGTTTTGTGTGAGTGTTCCTTTTGCTAATGTGCACTGAAAACAGTTTCATTGTGATGAAGTATTTGTTCCTGAGAACTTTCGCTCCGTAAAAGCATATTTCTGATGTGAATTATTTTAGCATCTGACGTGACACTTTTTTATAAAAAAAACAAACCAATAAGCTCCAAATTTCTCCAGATTCGGAGGGATATTAGCTCAAAGTAT